TGCATGACCTACACTGCGTCCCATAATTATAACTCCACCTAAGAATTTCCCAAAATCTCACAAATTGAGATGTATAAGAAAAAGTCTGCAATGTAGCATTGTAGTAAATACAAATACGAAATTACCTATAAACATCAACTTCCAACTTGAGACCCAGGAATTTTTTCTAATAATTTTTGTTAGAAAGGCCACTTAGCCGACGTCCCAAAATTATAACTCCACCTCATGTTTTTCTATTATTTCTCACTTCCGTTTCGCCAAACTTTTTTATTGTGCTAATATCTTACTTCTCAAGGGGACAGTATGATAGAAAATGCTGTCTGACTTTTTAAAAGGTCAGCTCGTCGCAAAAACTGTTGAACAACGCTTTCTCGCCAAAGTTGGACCAAATTCACGCCAAGCTCAAGAATTTCTTCAGGGGTCTTACACGATATGGAGCTTGCGAGAGCTCTTAAGGTCTCTCATTGATTTTCGATAGAAACAAAGGCCTCCTCACAGAAAAACATTCTTTTTTAATAAGCCGTGCTCTGCCATCGAATCTTCTTTGGAACTTAATGTCTCAACGGAACAATGTTTTTGCTTGCGAATGAATCCTAAGTTGATTCTTGAGTGGAAAACGTGGAAGGCATCATCTGTGGCAAGAAACCATGGCGAAAATCGGGCTGAGTTTCCATAAAGGTGCATCGGAGCTGACTGGAGTAAGGTTCGCTTTTGCTTGATATGTTGTAGCATTTGTTTGTTTTTCTTTTCGTGTCTCTCTTATCCTTAGCAGCTTTTCTCTTCGCGAAACACTACCAGGAGAAAGGAAATGGCGAAGAGAAAGACGGACAAACGATAATGCATCGCAAGTAAAAGCGAACCTTACTCCAGTCAGCTCGGTGCACCTTCATGGAAAACTCAGCCCGATTTTCGCCAAGGTTTCTTTCGAAAATGATGCCGTCCACGTTTTCCACTCAAGCATCAACTTAGGATTCATTCACAAGCAAGAAACATTGTTCCGTTGAGACATTATGTTTCCAAAGAAGATTCGATGGCAGAGCACGGCTTATTAAAAAAGAATGTTTTTTCTGTGAGGAGGCCTTTGTTTCTATCGAAAATCAATGAGAGACCTTTAGAGCTCTCGTAAGCTCCATATCGTGTAAGACCCCTGAAGAAATTCTTGAGCTTGGCGTGAATTTGGTCCAACTTTGGCGAGAAACCGTTGTTCAACAGTTTTTGCGACGAGCTGACCTTTTTAAAAAGTCAGACAGCATTTTCTATCATACTGTCCCCTTGAGAAGTAAGATATTAGCACAATAAAAAAGTTTGGCGAAACGGAAGTGAGAAATAATAGAAAAACATGAGGTGGAGTTATAATTTTGGGACGTCGGCTAAGTGGCCTTTCTAACAAAAATTATTGGAAAAAAATTTCTGGAGTCTCAAGTTGGAAGTTGATGTTTATAGTAATTTCGTATTTGTATTTACTACAATGCTACATTGCAGACTTTTTCTTATACATCTCAGTTTGTGAGATTTTGGGAAATTCTTAGGTGGAGTTATAATTATGGGACGCAGTGTATTTCGAAAATATTTATATCCCAACTCACCCTCATACTATAGTATTCGATTTTCTAATGACATTTTTTAGATATTACGCAAGTGAAACGGAAATACCAAACTGACTCAAACATTCTTACTGTAACATTAACGCTACTCGCGAAGGTACAACCCCTCCTTATTTTCCTACCTAATGGAACCCCCGCCCTCCTTGGATTGGGCTCCAACGAGACGCGTGTGACCCTGATTCACACCTCAGCCTGTTATGCTGATTGAACACTGAAATAAATAAGTTAGATGTTGGAAATATACACTTACAAGTGGATTGCATAATGTGATCTTTTCTCTGAACTTGAGTAGGTCAGTTGCATGAAATGTAGACATCAATCAGATATATGCTTGTTGGTATGTTCAGAAAACACTACGAACAGAAAATACCACTACCAGATGAGGCACTACTAGTGAAACCTATACCAAAACAACCCTTGGGAGTTAACAAAGGATAAAATTACATTAACTTCAAAACTTGGAGAAGGCGCATTCGGAGAAGTTTGGCAAGGAACACTGCGAAAATCAGCAACCCAAACAATACCTGCTGCAATCAAAGTGGTGAGCATTCAGGTCTTTTCAACTATTCAGTGTCCTTTGCTTCCGAAAACCAGATGCGGGGGGGGGGGGGGGGGATACTAAACCGAGGATGTTTCGCTTGAAGTCATGAACGAAACACACGAAGTGCAGACACAACACGAGTGCCCTCAAGCCGGCTCGGTACTAGGTGGTCATAGGACAACACGTAAGGCCGCGTTCATAGTTCGCGACTCGGGAGATTAGGATAGTAGGCGACAGGATATTAGGATAGTAGTAGAGTAGGAGATTGCGCTGACAAGATTGGATACGTATCGATTGAAATCGCTGGAGAGTAGTAGATTGGGCGACTTCAAGCGAATAGATCAATACGTATTATCTGTCAGCGCACATACTAATCTCCTACTGTATTAATCCCGCTATCGTGATATCGCCAATCTCTACTCTCCGGAGCGATTTCAATGCGATTAACGATTAGATCTCAGCGCGAATTCCTTGATCTACTAATATCCAATCTACACTGATACTATCGTCTCCTCGTCCAATACATATCTATTTTCCTATTGGCGTACCTCATATTGCGTAGTCGACGAATATGAAACGCCCACTAAGACAAGTTGAGATGGGTTCACTAGGCAAATGATCCTGCAGTGACTCATGAGTTATGATCAAGGTGGGTGGACCTAAGTAAGTAATGATATGCCGTGGTCCGCCATTTCATCCCAATACTCGGACTTGCAGTTCAGCCACTGGCCCCACGGTCCATTTAAGATGAGGTATCTGAAGACAGCCACGTATCGTGTGTATAAACCCCATTGAATGCACTGATAGCGTCGATTCCTACACTGATACCTCATGATAGATATTACGCTCTACTGGTTAAGGTAATACTTTTGCCTTTCACAGAGAAATAAATTTGGAAAGACACTGAAGAGTCCAAATCAATGTACATGTATTTCAACAGGCTAAGAAATTACATCAATAATGCGCAGTTTTCCAGACAAAGCTTAAGGAAGATAACAAGAAGTATATGCAGGAGCTATTCAAAGAGGACAGGCTATTGCGGCAGTACAGCACATGTAAAGCTTTGCTTCCATAGGTAAATGATAGGCGACCGCAGTAGCCCAAAGGATCCTTTTCAGAAATGTGGTCGGATTTTTCGGAATGGTAATGGAAAACGAAAACGTGATGATTGTGATGGAAATGGTGAACGGAGGCGGCCTTGATCATTACTTAAAAAAGAAACACCGTAAGCGAAGACACACGTACTGTACTTTCGAAAGGGACAGAGAAGTACCGTAACAGAGATGTCATTTAGGTCAGCATTCCAGACAAATGCTCCTACGCATTTGATGTCGCGCTTGGTCTTTATTACCTACACAGTAAACGATGCATGCACAGGTATGTTTCGTTTGCTTCTTCGTGGAGAGATTTCTCTTCTTCTATCGACACGAGCGCTTCCCTTTCTAAGCTTTTCATTACTTTCCTGATTTCATTACTCGAGACATACACCATCATATTGACAAATGTTTTGGTAACGCAAGGGAAGGTGATCAGTGTCGCTTTTGCTGAATACACTGATCATCTGGAAGTAAGATGTCGTTTCAAGATCATGTATGCCACTTGCTTGCCTGTTCCCCTCTCCCTTTCGATACGAGGGGTGGACAGGGGGTTGCTGAATATGCTAAGGGTCACTAATAGTAAAGGGGAGGGGGTCCTTCCGTTGGTAGGGATAAGGGCAGAATACTAGCGAATGTGGAAAATCTGACAATCCATGAGCCTCAAAATCAATGGAATATTTCCCTTCCATTTTGTGGTTCGGTAGCATCATAAAGAAGTGCTGAGGGTCACTAGGTTTTGACAATTGACTACGGTACTGAGTGTGGCCCTAGAAGGTAGGAGTTTCTGACTTGCAAGAACTCGCTGTGAACGCTCATGAATCGTTGGAGCTGTCGCCTTTAGAGTCACTGCACTCACTTCACATACCGTCCCGAGTCCGCGATAAATGAGTGTGCCTCATTTATCATCTTTCTCAATCGTTTTTCCAGTTGTAAACTCTGAAACCAGGTTTTAGGTTGGCTACCGCAATGAGTGTAGCACTAGAAGGTAGGAGTTCTGACTTGCAAGAACTCGCTGTAAAAGTTCACGAATCTTTGTCGTCTGTCTCTTGCAGAGTCACTGCACTCACTTCACAAACCGTACCAAGTCCATAAGTGTGCCTCATTATTATCATCTTGTCCTGTCAAAGCGCTTTGGCGACAAAGAGCCAGTCTGTCTAGGCTGCTGTGCTAACATCTCCGAGAAAGAACTAGATAATGGGAATCACGAACTAGCGTGTGGCTACCCTGCTCATAAAAACTGCCTCTAATAGAGTGTGAGTGAGTTGAAAGAGAGGTGGGAGATCACGCTGATGACGGTAGTTTGAATCAGGCAGTGAAAGCACGAATTAGCACGGCGTGGAATAGATGGAGAGAGCCCACTGAATCCTCCGCGATGAAAGGTGCTCCAGAACGCTCAAAGGAAAAGGTTCACCGGGCAGTGAGAGCGACCTACGATCCTCTACGGCAGTCACCAGCGGAAACAAAGTTATGAGAGGTAGCTTCAGTCCACTGAAATGAGATTCAGATGGACCGGACGCGACCGGACGTATTTAGAAACGAGGCTATCAGAGCGATTATGCACCTCCTCTTTCCAACGGGAGATCTGAGCACAACTCCTACGATTGTATAGTCCCCCGCTAAGAAGACCACAGGATCACCCGTTAATAAAAGCGGTGGACTTCGAACCACAAAGCGACCGCGAGGATCTCTAAAGCCCGGGCAGATAGACATCACCAAGGAGGAATTCAGGGAGGGTTAAGCTCGATTTCTTAGATAGAACAAAGTATTGAGGACAGGGCAGCGGATCCTGCCCGGGCTATCGCTAAGGGCAAAAAGAAAATGGATGGGAAGTGAGTTGGGAAAGTGCCGCTCTCTTGATCCCAATCACACTCGCAATGGTATCCGTTGAGAGCAATAGTTTCCTGCACCTTACACATCTCTTCAATTAACAGCTTTGAGCAGCAGAAGCAGTTTGATCGATTTGGGCATTTTCATTGTAATCGTGCGATATTTGATAAACAGGGGTGAAGCATATCAAGACGACTCAGGCATAGTGTTGTGTCCTTGTTTAGTAGAGCAGGATAGGAAGATTCATCAGAGGACAAGACAATCTTCGCTTTTATACAGTATCGCCCTGCTAGTTAAAACCTAGGAGGTCATGTAGCTAACAGATCATCTACAATGGGAAAAGAGATCATATAGTGTCCCCAAAATAGAGAACTAACAATTTGAATTGATATCGGGGTATGCAACTCGAAACATTGGATCCGTTCACAAATTCCGCAGCACTTTACACCTATTGCTATGAATTTGAAGAAATTTCTGGATTTAAAGCCACGAGTCAGGATTAGGGAACATGAGGAAGTCCTTTATAGGGTGCGAAAGTGGGGTCTCCAAGCAGAGGGGGTGTGACGCTGTCGCGACAAGGAAGTGCGCGGCAAAGGCGCTAGGGCCTTGCAATT